CGGGAGGATGGTTTCGTGTTACTGCATTACCCCGGAACTTATTCCGTTAAAACTCCCTTCGCCGAAAAAAAAAAGAAATAGCGCGGCGTGGAGGCCGGGGTCAAATTTTCGGAGCCCACAAGTCATTCACAAGAAAAATAAAAAAAAGGTAATAAAATAATTTTGTTACCCCTATAGAAGTCTTCTTCTCATGTACGATCAAACTAATATAATTTCAAACTTTCCATGTTTGTTATATTTTTGATTTCTTGGGATATTATAATAGGAATATTTATTAAGGCATTATATTATGCAAATGTACATGCTGAAGGCATCTTAGGTTTATGTCAGACATGACATTCAAATTGTAGCAACTATAGTCTTTTTAAATTTTTATAATAGCTATATTAAGTATTTATTTATTATTTCCTCGAAATAGAATTTCCTCTTGCATTTCTAGACCCTATAATTATCTGATTGAGAGATAATTTTAGACTTCATGTTAATTAGTATTCACATATGGTAAATACGTCTTAAGGGCAATTCTTATTTCTGAATCCCTTTCTTTTTTTCTTTAAAATTACTTAGTCTTGTGAGTAAGATCAAGGCATTGTGCATGGCCAAATTTTGATCAAAATATTAGTCTTGTGAGGAGGATATAGGTGTCGTGTCTTGTAAAATTTTGATAGAAAATCTTTTTAGGCATGTGAGTATAGATTGATGCCACTGACCCGAAACTGACATTAGAAAATGTTATGCAACAAAGTTGGGAAAGAATAAGTAACATGAAGATCCATGACATTGTAACACACAAAAAGTTTTGGAGATGGAAATGAAGATCATGATGTGAATGCAATTATAAATGGAGCTATAGGATTGATTATGAGTGAGGAGGAAGTTGGATAGTATAGATTTTCTTCTTTGCATTTGATTGATTGATTTTCATTTGCATTAATGTTTAGTTATGTATTGTATGCTAATTGATTTGGATATAGAATTATATTAGTGAATAGATAAACCCTATAGATGAAGATATATATAACGGGCAAAGTGCAGCATCGATGCTAATGTCATCTAATAGTATTTTATAGCTTGCTAGCATGGTTGCTCATATTATAAGTGAAAATTAGAGGAAACAGTTAGGAATTAGGGATGACAATGAAGATAGGCGCCTACAGATGTTTCATAAATTCATGCTGCCATTGTTTAAAAGAGTTGTAGAACCCCATGCAGTAGAAGACTTACTGTTGAGGATAGAGAAAACATTTGAGAGGATGTATTGTCTAGAGAATAAGAAAGTAGTACTAGCAATATTTCTATTAGAAGGGGATGCTAAGAAATGGCGGAAAGGACAACAAAGGTATAAATTTCAAGGTAAAATGAATGTGAAGATTACCTCGGTAGAGTTTAATACTACTTTTAGAGATTGGTTTGTACCTCTATCAACATGATAGCAAATACAAGAGGCTTCTATTTTATTATTTTGTATTAAGAAGCATGAGATGTTTTATTGATTATAACGATCTCTGGGCTACTAAAAATTATATTTTGAGGTTGAATATAGTAAAAATTTTATGTATATGATATATAGATTTGCTTTTGCTAGATTATTTTGAGTTGTACTCTAAAAGCTATGATAGATGTTTAAAAGGTAAATTAAACAATTCTTCATATTGAGTTTTTTTGGAATTAGATAATGTTTATAGTAGAGATCAATTCTACTATTGAATTTTGTCATCCAAAATCTAACTTTACATTCAGTTTAAGTTTACAGTTCAGTCAAGACATTTATTCCATGTTAAACTAATAAAATATAGATTTTATTCATATATAAGAATTGAACATAGCTAGTAATCATATAACATTTGACTATAAAGGGTAGTGTCTTCTGCATTGCACAGTTTTTTTGAGATGAAATGGCGTGGGAATGCAGACCCTTCTCAT